AATCTGCAGCAGTCCTATTTAAGACATTAGGAGCAACTACTGGATTGGATTAATGAATTTGAATATAGAAATTAGAATTTTAATAGTTTTAAATATGTTTTGAAGTATATACTGTGTGGATCTATGGGAGCTAAATATGATGATGATTATATTATAAACATAATGGGTCATAAGTGTGTAATTTTGTGACTGTATTTGATTTAGTTAATATAGGTATTTTATATGAAATGGTGTAAATACAATTTTTATAGTAATTTATTTTTTAAGTATGTCTATTAACTGAAATCTTAATAAATTCTTTTACCTTTTATTATTATTTATGTTTACAGATTGGTATAAGTGACTTTGTTTAATTGACTTGTGCAATTTTGTATATGCATGTTGATGTATCTGTATTCAAAAGGACCATTTCCACATCCTGGTTTGTTAACCTGTATGGATATATATGGAAAATAAAATGAAATGAAAATTAAGCGTTTTCTATGGTAACAGAACATCAAGAAATACGCTACTTTCATTAAGTTAATTATTTTTTGCAAAATTTAAAACAATAACATGGTGGCCATGCAAAAATTCTAACTTTCTGGTTAATTACAATAAATAATGAACCACTGGACCTAGCAGCAATGGGTTTAAAAGTGCTTCAACAGCATGGTTATTCATGACACTCCAGTTCAGTGTGTAAAATCTGGTATGTATGGAAACAGATCATACACTGTGTTATAAATATTGTGACGTATTGCGCTATGGAGGACATCCCTTCCCCCACCAGCACTGACGTAACAACATCGAGCGCTGTTGCTGCTACGGTAACAGGCCAGTCAACACTCTGCCCCCTCACCTGTGGTGATGTGGCAGCGCTTCCCACTGTGACATAACAGGCAGCAACACCTGTAAACGCGGCAACTAGGCAACAAGGAAGCGAGGCGTTTTCCCATTGTCTGGCTGAGGGTTTAACACTGCCTAAGGAGTCAGCTGAAGTCTAGCAGCCGCCCAAGACAGTTGAATTGTAGTAGTCACCAAGTTCAGTTGTAACGAGTAGTGAGTGATTAGTTAGTGAGTAGTGAGTACTGAGCCAGTTACTAGAGAAAGAGTAACCAGTTAATTGCAGTCTCGTATTTGTGATACTGCCGATGGCAGTAATTGTGAGATTGTAAATGGTGTGATTGTAAGAGCAAGTGGAATAAATTCGCTATATCAAATAAGGCGTGAAGTTACTTGTCGCGTGACCTACCCAAACACATTAAAATATGGTTTGTACGTCAAAAATTACAAACATAACAACAGTGTGAAACTGTGAGGATAAATACCACAAATTTAACAGAGAATCTGTAGTTAAGTAATGAGTTCTTAAAAAAAATCATTAAGTATTTGTAAAAAAAATAACAGTAGTAATAGTAACAGATCTGTATGACTAGAAACCTATGCATATAAAAGTAGGGCTTCATGAAATTTGTTGGAAGTCCTATTCTTATTGCAGCAGTATGGCAACACCCGGCAGACTTCATCGCATGCAAAGACTATCCAAATGTCCCTTGATGAATGCAATTTCCTAAAACAAGACACTATGTAACCTCTTGCCAAGTTTTCTGTATGCACATTTACTTAGTTCATATGTCCTGAATATGTGAAAGCCAAGTACTGTGCTAAAACATAGGCAAAGAAAAGCACTTACCAGTTGAAATTTAGAAGAATAAGCATACAACTGTACACTAATCAAACCTTATCTTACTGTACATTTGGTATTCTTACAATAGAAAACAAGACAGTTACCTTGCATGGAAGTTAGCAGCTGCCGATTTGGAATCAAATTAATGTCAAAATCTTCAGGCTGCCATGTTTCTGACTGAGAAACACGTGTTCCTTCACCAGGATACTGCTCCATTCCTGAAGGAACATCACAAACTCTTCAGGTATTCATACTACCCAACGTATGGTCATGCACAATAACTTTCTTTCACATAAAATTCTCAAACCTTTCTCTTGTTTGCTGTGTAGGTACAGAGGGTTAAAGTGCAGCATATAGTGTGGGTTTTCCATCCCACCATATTCTAGTATGAATGATATCACTCTGCTTCTGTATGCTTAGGTTAGGTTAAACAACCTTCACCATTCATGATTTGGTTTCACAGGTTACAACAGCTCTGGCCAGTCTTGCCTTAATTTTGTTTCATTCAGTTTGGACTGGTCCAGATTGGAGTGATATGATTTGCCTCGATTTTGATATGTTTAGTTTTGGTACATTTTGTTTACTTCATGTTAAGCAGGGTGCCATCTGGTGCAAAATGCATGGCTCATTGCAGTGTGGTGTGATGTGGGATGCTGTGGCATGATGCGGAGTGGCAAGGCGTAGCAAAGTGTGATGTGATGTGATGTGATGCGATCTGGTGCTGTATGTTATGTTCTGCCATGGTTTGGTTAAGATTGGTTAGTATCATTTACTTCAGTTGAGGAAAGATCAGGTCAAAATAAATGTACTACACCTGGTCTGTAAATTTGATCTCGAAGTTTGTGATGATGGTATATGAATACAATCATTGTTTCTGAACATTATCCATTGTCCTGTTTTTTTAACACATTTCAAAAAGACGTGAAAGATATATAACAGGGCAGTCTATACATCAATAATTCTAAAAGAGATAAAGGTGACACTACTGTGTCACCATTTGTCTTTATTAGCTGCTGGTTGTAACACTACATGTTTCAACCCTTTTCTTGGGTCATCTTCTGGCATCAAATAATACTGGTACTAATTCTTAAATTGTGTCATTGATTAATATGAATTCATAGTGTGTGTCTATGAATTTTTATATTGACAGATACTCTTAATTTATCCATTAGATTTTCCATTTGTTTATCTGTAGTTTGTGTACAAATTTCCTGTTCTTTAAGTTTTCTTATTTTATTATTTATACCCCTATAATTTATACTCATTTACGTTTTATGCTCACATGTTTCAGAGACTCGGTTCTGTCTTCAGGTGTAACCTAATCATTTGGATCCAACTGACAGAGCTAGTCCATAACAGGACCCTTGTTTGTCTTCTGGTGGAACTTACTTAGTTGGGTGCAATCAACAGAGCTAGCCCCTATCTCCAAGATAGCATATATAAACCAAGCATGGCACAAACCATCTGTGAGAGTTAAGACAACAAACGTTAAAAGCATTAAAAATTTCACACACATGAGGCCTAGCACCTATGTCCATACACTACTTCATGACTATTGTTGTTAAAATCAGAGTACTATCAGAATATGACTTTAGGGCATAACTGCAGGAGGTGAATTCCTAGGTCTTTGTGATCAAAAAAGTTCATATAAACATGTGTCCGATTTTGGACGGTTACGGAGTTATGACCGTTTTTTCATTCCCGTACACGCCTTTGTGTGAACCGCGTCTATCATCTGGCGGGTCACTAATTTTAGCCAGCTACAGACAGAGCGTTCTCGTTATCTCGACACTTGAGAGGTACCTAAGGCGTGGTGGGTTGGTATGTCCAGCCACGGCTAATGTGGTGGCAACTGGTGTTCAGAACAGTTCTCATCTCAGTGTGTCTGTTACGTTCACGATGCCATTTACATTTTCATTTGAGGAGTATGCAGGTATGATTTATGTGTATGGGTTTTGTGACGGTAACTCAGTTCTTGCTGTAGCTGAATATCAGCAACGGTTTCCGAATTGTAGAATACCGAATCGGAGTGTGTTTACTGGAGTTTACCAGGCATTGCGAGATACCGGTAGACTTCCCGGCATTCATATTGGAGCCAAGTGTGGTGTTAATGAAGGCGTCAATGAAGGCATTGTTCGTATGGTACACCACAGTCCACGTACAAGTACGCGAAGAATTGCCAGCCAGGTCTCCAGACTTAAGCCCACTGGATTATTGTGTGTGGGGATGGATGAAAGAACTGGTTTACAATGTGAAGGTGGCAATGTGACATGTTTTGCTCGGTCGCATTCTGGACACCGCTGACCACATAAGAAACAGCCAGCTGAAGCTGCTAAGTGCTAATCGCGTGGTTCACAACCGAGTGGCAGCCTGTGTTGCGGCCGGCGGTGGCATTTTCAAAAATCAGCTTTAACCAACAATAAATTCAAATTAAAGGTAATTTCACAAAGTTACATTACATTCATACTTTAAATGTATCATGTATTATGCTGGTTTATTATTTTGTTCCGTTTATTGTCAGTAATCGTTACCTTCTATTCTGAGTTTAAAATGGTTATAACTCCGTAACCGTCCAAAATCGGACACATGTTTATATTAACTTTTTTGATCACAAAGACCTAGGAAATCACCTCATGCAGTTATGCCCTAAAGTCGTAAAACACTCTGTATAAGTCATCACAGGAGACAAATTCTCTGTATGTTACCAACATAAGAAAAAACAACTTTCACACATAATCTACACTGGGCAGAGTTGTAGTTTTCTAACTTCTGCTGCAATAATGGGAGTCCAGATGGGAGAGATGTCCAAGCAGGGTTGACTGATCAGATGAAGAGGTCCAGAGATAGGGAACAGCTCTAATGACTGGGGCCAACTGAGTAGGTGTCACCTGAATACGGAGACAGAATCCAGTCTCCAAAACATTGTGTATTAAATAAAAAGAGGACGATGGATAATGTCCAGAAACAAAATAACTGTACGCCTCGTCTGGTCTGGTGTATCTTGGAATCCATACCATACAATGAACTTTACCATTATAGATATTGTTTCTGCTACTCATAAATTCTTGCCTTGGAAAGATGACAGTTTACCAGTAAGTACACATATTCAATCCGAGACATGGATATTACAGACATCCACAATGTACAAGATTTCCACAAATGTGAGATAACAATCATTACCTAGTTGATCACGGTACTCTGCAGGACTTGGTGGTGGTGTCTGTGACATCTTGGGTGATGGTATCTCTGAAAAAACAGAATGAAGCCAAGCCCAAAGCATGAGCACACAGGTGGAAGCAGTGCTGTCACGGGATGAGGATGCATTTCTTCATGCCACATGCACAACACCTTAACACACTTTCAGATATTTCATTTTCCTATGTGTCTTCACAAAAACAGGCACCATATATAAATAACAAAGTTTTCAGAATCTAAGAAACCAAGAATGTGTAAAATTATACTTCAAACTTGTATCACATGAAGAATAATATTGCTTACAAAAAGTAGGCCATCCTGAAGCTCAACACTCTTTTGTATGATAACAAAAGATTTATCTAAGGGTGGACTATAGCTTGCATAGACTCTACTACCTATGTAATCTGTCAGTGAATATGTGGTTTTCTTAATTATAAGACTTGGCATAGACTCTTCTACTTATCCAACCCTAACTGAGCAACTCACTCACTTGCTCCACTCAACTTAGTGACTCCACACTTCTCTTTCACTTTCAAATAATTCTGGCTTATTTCACTCAACTCATTCACTTAGAGTAAAGGGCCTTTTAAACAGCAAATAATTATCTGGTGAAGAAGCCAATAACTGCACCATATGTCACAGAAGTTAACTTCTGGGCTCTCTTCCCAGAAGGTTCAATCTGAGCTCAAAGACATCTGTTCATAACCTGTTTCTCTATTGTCCATTATAACATTTACTTCTTATCAAAGCAGAGCTATCCCACTTGGTCTCTTCTTTAAACTCAACTGATCTAAACTAAATACATGGTAGTATAACTCTACATGGGAAGTGCTAGGGGAGGAGCATCTGGAGGGGAAAAGACCCTTACAAGCAAAGGGAATGAGCTTCCAGAAGGGAAAGGGACAGCTTCATTTAGCACAGACACTTCTATACACCATCTCTCTTTTCCTCTAAGCTTCAAAAAGTATAATTTCACTGAGTACATAACTTAAGTGCCATTCATACTACTATCTCAAGGAGGGAGTCCTTTGCAGTATCCGGTGGCCATTTTGTCAAAACAGAGATCATACAAAAAAAAAAAAAATGATATTTATAACAGAAAACTGTTTACTTCAATAAGTTCTTCACACTTTCTGATACTTTCTTACACCAGTACAAGTGAATGAGGCAGAATAAAAATTTTTACCTTAAAACAAAATAACAACCCTGATTCATTAACACAACCTGAACTTTAATAGCAAATACAAACAAACCAACAAGTCAAATGACATTTCAGGGGGGCACAGCACCACCATCTTCAGGGTTGAAGAGTAAGGACAGCTTGCTACCTACTCTATACTGGTTTCTTGCTCAGCTTACTCTTTGACCCTAATGATGGAGGAAATTTGTTCCTCCACAATGTCACCTGACTTTCACTGGTCAACATGGTATCATAGCCCGGTAAACAGAAATCTTCCTGTGAGAACAAACTCCAACACAGTTCCATATCTTAGCTACATATTTCTGTGAATTTCCTATGATACAGATCCCTACTGTATGAAAGACACAGGACCTAACTTCAAAGTTCGGTACAGTCACCATGTTTGTCATTTATTTTTAAAAAGAGCTGTACACAGATCTGAAAATATGTTTATGATCTGCATACCAATTTCGCATACACAGGTGGCAATATCTAAAAGAAGGAAAGTAGTCTAAGAGGGGCGATTTATAAAAAATGACCATGTTAAACAGAGATATAAGATGAGTCCAAAGGTTTCTGATGATGATGTATGGCAATAAAAGAACTATCAGTGGTATTTTCAGACACTGCCCACCACCTTTATTTCTTTCAAACAAAACACTTTGGAAACAGAAACAATCTGTTTCTGTCACTAAGTGTCCAACATATAAAGGGGTTCTAATACTAAGCTGTGCCCACATGTCCAGGAATTGAAACTATCTCCCTCTACTGGGGCCAATGGAGTACAAGCACCTCCCCATTTCAGTACCTGATGATGGAAACAAATCCAGTTTCTGAAACACTGAATTCCGAAAAACCTAATGCACTAAAGCTGAAGCAACCTGTTATGAATTCAGGAAGGTTAGAAACTGACCTGCGCCACAATATTCTGCAGCATTTCAAGTTAGAGGTCATTATCTCTGCCCAGCTAGTTTAAATGATGATACATGTGGTATGTCATTAACTTCTGTAGAATATCAGGTTCTTAACAGAGCAAAATTTGGACTTAATAATTATAATGACAAGTGTAATTTGAGTAAAAAGTAACGTTATCCATGTAACAGACTGCATACACCTACTGGGTCGTGAGACGTCAAGGCTCCCACATTTTCTAGATAATCAGCTCACAGATAATGGTGAGGTCGTCAGCCTCGAGTATCGGCCACCCTTTACCACCAGGAAGAGATTCCTGGTACTCATTTCTGTCCAAGGCTGAGTCAACCCCAAGGACACAGTGCAGCTGGAAGGACTAGGTCAATTGAAAAATCCAATGACCTCATATGGAACCAAACTCACTACCTTCCAGTTTGTAGTATAGTGTCTCAACCACTACACCACGTGCCCCAGTGTAATTTGAGTAACACATTATAATGAATAACCTAACAATAATGGTTTAATATTAATATGAAAATAAAACTTAAATAGCAGAAATAGGATCAAGGTCTGGATAAACTGACGAAAGAGGACAGAACCAGATATTTGGTCTACACTGCAAACCTCTTCCTAAGAAAGTTCAGCATTTTGGCAAAATATTTTCTTTCAAAAATATGTCTGGCTCCTTCCTCTCTGTAGTAACTTAAACCTGCAAAATGGGTAATGCCTGCATCTAGCTTCTACATAATAATCAGGATTCAAAACTTTCTACTGATAATTAAATCAGGAGCAAGACTATACAAAAAAAAATTTCATGTGTATGTTTTGGTAGTTTTGTCACTTTTAACTCAAGTGTTTGCCCACCTCTGACTGAAACAGTGCATCAGAAATAAAATAAAATGCAAACCAACATAATGAACAGAAGGTAAACATAACACATAGATCACAAATCTAGTGTGTAAAAAGATGCCATTCATTCATCAGTAATCTGTCAGATGACAGGTCCACAGTCTCTTCCAAAACATTTCCTCCACTTAATGTGATCTAGAGCTTTCTCCTTCAAATAAAAATATCCTCTTCTGTCCCCAAGGTCATCCAGCATCTTCTTACGTCTTCTTCCTCGTCTTATGGATCTCGCATACATGGTATCTCTGTTTTTGGAAAGAGACTATCCAGGAAAAGTGATAATGTGGTAGCTTTTCCATTTGCTTTCCACATTGCAGTACAACAGCCGTTCAAACCATTATGTACATTTTAAAGATGTAATCCACTTGCCACAAAAAAAGAACATGTGTTCCTTTCTTGCAAGTATTTTGACTCATTAATTTGGTATGAATATAACGTATATTTACTGCTGGGAAGCAGATTCTTCAGAATGCAAAATCATCACTACCACCACGATTAAGCACTAGGCTATTTGTGTATTCTGGTAGCAAATGTAACTCATTTAAAAACTCGCAAAATGTAAGTGTAAAAATTGTCACTTTATCATACATTCTTGGTGTTTTCTTACTTTGGTTTGGTATTCATACCGTACCGGAAATATAAGAAGTATTTATTTTATATCCCAGCCTATTTATCTGATGTCTCTTATTGTTGTAATAGTATTAACTACTTGCAGTTATTTTTGTATAGGGGATAAAAAAGAAATTTGTCTAAAACTGTTACTGTCTAGTTCAACACTGAACTAAGTTATTCCACCATCTGAAAGATGAAGTGCCAATGCAGTATAATATGAGCCTGTGAAATGTGCTTGTGTAAATACAGACAATAAAGTGATAGGTTATACATAATTCTTAATTGTAAGATTTGAGGCTTTCACGGCGGTGACTATGAAGAAAGCAGTCTTCTGGGATTTTGCACCGTGTATATGTGGTGTTAACCGACGTTTCGGAGGAACGTATCGCCTCCATCTTCAGGGTAGAAGAAAAAATATATAAGAAATCTGCAAGCAAAGAGACCGTGAGAACCGGTAGAAGCAGACTGGAAAAATACCCAGCTATGTGAGTGCAGTGAGGGAGAAGGGGGAAGGGCAAGTATACAAGTGAAAGCAGTAGTGTGGGAGGGGTAGGGGAAGGGAGCTGGGACAAGCAGGGTTTTTGTGTAGGGGAGAGAATGGCAAGTTGAAGGCTGGGCATCAGCCGTGAGCTGTGGGGTTGGGGTTGTTATGTGGTTGGTCATGGCCTGTGTGACCTGGATCTGGCGGGATATGACGCCAGATCCAGGTCACACAGGCCATGAACTGTTTCTTTGTCAAATTCATTCATAATCAACTTTACGTTCTTCACAATTAGTGCAGGCAGTAACATGTTTGAAGCAGGACATGACGGCATACTTGCACAGCAGCAGAATTTGAATATTAATGGTTAATTAACTCCGTTGGACAGTGCAACGGTTCTTCTTCGTTAAGTTCCTTGGAGTCCTTGCATGAGTTAGCTTTAGCTAACTCATGCACTAGACTTCTCACTAGAGCACATGCTAAGTCTTCTGTCTTCACTAACTCACATATGCTCATGTCATTACTGGCTGGTGACTGCCTCACAACCAACTAACGCAACTGCATTTCACCGTCATGTGCTGTCTACTGGCAGTTACGCAGCAACAGCTCCTAGCTTAATGATGTCACCACATTTACTCTTCCATGACCTTGAACGGCTGTCTCTTTCAGTTATCACGGCACAGTATGGATACCTGGNTACATTCTCCAAGTTTATTCTGCTTTCTACAAAATCTCTTTTCAGAAAATCTCTAATAGTGCTCAGACAAATTTACATACCTATGTATGCGACCTTCAATGATATTTTGTGCTTCCCTTTGGATTAACTCTTTATTAATTCTACACTTCGAATGGGGGCATCATAAAAGTCACTTGGTTCCATGAATAACTGACCCAGGTGACAAAATCTTAACACTTTGCAGACCAGCAATTTAAATATTTAAATCTCCCTGGGGACTGGCATTTTTAAACCTACTACCCTAACTTGTGCACTGTTCACTTTAAAAATTAATATAAAATCTCCTAATTCATTTTACAAACTAAAATTTTTGGAGAACACTTACCAATGCTCCTAGAAGTGCTTGAGAGTGTGATATTTCTGGAAACATTCCCCTTTGTGAAGTTGCATTACACAGAACTTGCACATGTAGACAGTCATACTCCTTTTGTTGTGTACTGTGCAAACACGGCATCGCCTACAAGGCTGCTTCCTCTTGGCATGTTCACTCTTCACAATTTTCATGGGGGTATGTTTCTGCATATCACCTGAGAGTCGCCCAGGGGGGTCAAAATGAGGCCTGCGTGGGGTGGGAGTAGACGGTCCCGGTCGTACTAAGACTGTGTCTGCCGCCAGTTCTGCCGCCACCGTGTGGTCTGTAGGCCAGGCTTTTGCTACATTCAGCAGAAATGCCTTGTATTTCTATTTTGAATGAGATTTTAGATCTTTGAAAACCAAAAATGAATTGAAAATGGCACAATTTATAAGCCACAAGGCAACTTTCTTTGTCCACTTTACTGTTTTCCGAGGAAGAGAATAATAGGCCAAGTACTGATCGGCTCTATCAACTCCCTTCATGAACGTATTATACTCGGAAATACAAACAGGCTTCTTTACCTGTCCACGTCTCCTTTGAACATCAACCATGCTTAAATTGTGAATTGTGGAAATCATATTCACAACACTATCTCCAAAAAACAGTTCCGCTACTTCATACACTTGTCTTGGGTCTGATGGAATTTGCTTCACCCCTGGATTTCCAGTAAACTGTCCCAAAGCAGGTGTTTTGTCTACTTTTCCCCATGTGGCTCTGCCCTCAATGTTGCTACCCGCACTTTCGTCAGAGCTACTGTCACTTTCACTTTCACTGTCTGTGGCCACAATTTTTTGTTCGGCCCTGCCACACTCACTATCAGATTGTGAGTCGCTATCACTAGCAGACTCACAAGGGACGTCAGATAGCTCATCGGAGAACAAGTCAGATATTTCTTGTTCTCTGGGAAAACGCTTGGACCTCAACCTCTTCCAACCTTGATCCATTTTGCACTAGCAACTTCCTGCATGGTGCATGCAGCTGGAAGATGAACAAAGGCATTTTCTTTTGGAGTGAGAAAGGAAAACGGCTGGGTCATAAACAGCGGGGTCATGTTATTGACTACGAAGCAAACATTCAAGAGGTCTATCACGCACCAGTCATGCGTCTGCCTGGCGTCAATGCAAGGTACAGTGTGTTTCAACATAACATGTCCTAAAGTCATAATAATATGCCACCGGTCCGCAAAGTGTTAAGCTGTGGCCTCACAATCACATAGGATTTGTGTGGCAATTTACATACCTAAAAAGTAAAAGAAATGAAGAAAAGAAACTGTAACAATTAAAATATATTTCGTACATGATATAGGAAATCATAAAAAACATGTTGAAAAAATCTGCTCTAATACGATTCCCCAAGAAATTATGAAATATCAACCCACAGGAAGGCAATGCTTATGCAGACTTTCAAAAAGGATGGCAAAATACTGCTGTGACAGGACAACTGAGTAAGTTGATATGAAAGCAATTTTGCTACATAGATCACAGGGGCAAAACAACTACAAGCATCCCAGATATCAAAACAAATTAAAAACAAAGAGCAAAATATTTAAAACACCATGTAGTAATTCTGCAGAACCGTGGTGGGTGGTGAGGGCTCATTCTGTTCTCTCCTGATGTCAATTCCAGTTTTAAAATTGGGACTAACACAGTGGTACATCTTATATTTCCACTGTCAGAAATTTCTCAGGCAGAATGAATGAATATGAAAAAGCATGAACTGAAAGACTACATGAATTACCACAGTACAGAGGAGAAACTGTGCAGTTTCTAGCACATGGACATGAGCAAGCTTGTGCAATGTGCAGTCACTGAAATGCATATTCGTTGGTCCAATTTCCTTACCTAAACACTAAGTTCATTCACAAACCATGGAATAGAACTGTACCTTGCTTGTGTGTGAAAACAGTGGTGACAACACTTGGTGATATTGTCTCAAGCCTTTCAAGTTGTTCAGTGACATCCTGGAGCATCTCCTGCTTCTCACTGCCAATGTCTGACTGGATGTGCTGGGGTCTCAGTGGTGTGGATGTGCTCTGTTGCTTGTGAACCAGGAAGTCCTCCATCATGTCACCAATATCTTTCTCTTCTCCTGCATATTTCTTCTCCTCCACCACTCTGACTGCACCATGGTCTGTAGAAAAACAGCACAATAAAGAAATCCACAACAATGAATACTTAAGGGAAAAGATTATGATAAATAATAGCAAACAAAAATTAACCCTTACACCTTTCTTCCTGCTTAGCTCATCCTTGCTCTATTTCAATTATAACTAAAAAGAACAAATACTGCTGTATAACTCAACATTCTCTCAAATGATGGTAGGCATAGCTTCTGAATTACATCACAATCTGTGACAACTTACATATAACATAAGGAAGAAATTACCAAGTATCTGTTGCATGAGGCCAATACATGATACAATAAAGTCGTATCTTGGCTCCTACACAACTGATAGACTAAATTAAAAGCACTCACCATTATAAGTACTCATTGTAGGCTTCCAGATGATTAAGCCTTGTAAGCTTAAAATACTAACTTTTCTACAATTTCATTTTTAAAATTAATGATTTTATGTAATGAAATAGTAATATGCCCAAATGTGATGGCCTCATACCATAACCAGAAGTATGAGTTCACTGTGAACAAAACTCACCATTACTGATTGCAAATGTGTCTGCCTCTCCTAGTTGCTCAACAGACTCTGACTCCTAAAAATGAAGCACACAACTGTTAGGAACAAAGCTTTATTTCTGGCATAACATAATCAAACCAAAATTTTTTAAATATTTCATGTTATGCCGCCGTGGTGACAGGGGGGCGTGGAGGTGTCCCGCCACTGCCACCATCTTGTTATGTCAACATAAACTCTGGTAAACTTATCGATCGTTGACGTCACTGGTCCTGGTTTTAACTCGCAATTCTCCGAAGCTTCAGGAGATGCTGGAGTCGTCAGGGAAGAGGGTAACACTTGAGGGAATGCTAGGTTCAATTAATATCACAGCGCATTTCTATCCTACTCTATTCACCTATGTTGCTATATACATCATATATACACACTTTGCCGACGTTCGTCGGTTCGCATTACATTTGGTTATGACCCTGTAGTACACACATTAGTTCTATCTCCTGTCACCCTGCTGTTGGGTACCCCATACCTCTATCTCTCTCAGTCAACCTAGTCCATCTAGTTTTCACTTTCTCTCACTGGGGTTTGCACTTTAATATTATCACACTTAATGTTCATGGCTATATGAAGTTGGTTCACTTACTTGAGCTGAGGAAACAGACGCTCGCCATCACCAACCAACTCCTACTCATTGCCATCACTCTCTCGGTGATAGCCTCCAGCTGAACTCTATGTCAATTAATAATATTAAAAAGTTTTTTGATTGATTTCTCTATAGTTTATGTACCCTCTTTTTGCTGACTCGCGGGGTTCCGGGGTGTATTGGCCCGCCCATTCTGACGTGATTTTGGGTCGGTGTGGCCCACTCATTGGCTATTTATCGAAAGGGGTTGGCTCTTTCAGGTCTACCGTCTTCTCCGACTCAGCGTTTTCCTCATGCCATAGTGTTTATGACCTACTTCATATAGCTCCTTCCTCAATGTCAGTGTTATTATGCTGTCGCGCTAGCATTCTGATTACTAAGCTATAGCCTGTTACACTTCTTTGCAAACACAAGCTTCCTGGTACGTTTCATTATTTCTGTTTCTTAATCTAAAAGTCTAGATACACTTATTCCACATTTACCCAAAAAACATATCTACTTGTACATAACCCTTGCGCCATTACATTTCATCCAACAAAATGCAGAGAAGCCTTTCATATTGTTAAAGCACAACAGACCACTGTAGGTCATGGTGCAAGGGCCGAGAAGGCCTACACCTCATTCATACTGTCAGATATTAGTGACAAAGAAATGGGGTTTGATTTGGTAACTGGATTTATTGAACATTTAGAACTCCCAAGTACAAATAGTTACAATGTTACCACTAATCTACACACTTAATAGATAACTGTAAAACACACTAAGTCTTCTCAGTTTGCTAAGTCTTCACTAGTCATTGCTTGGTAACTCACTCATGGAGCTGAGCCTCCTTGAGAAGCCGCCAATTGTGAAGCTACTCAAGACCTTCTCAGCATTTTATGGAACCTGAAGGTTCATACCACATTCACAAAGAGCCCTTCACTGGTCCATATCCTGAGCTAGATCAATCCAATCCATCCCATCCCATCCCATCCATTTTAATATTGTCCACCCACCTATGTCTTGGTCTTCCCAGTGGTCCCCATCCTGCTGGCTTTCCCACCAATATCCTGTATGCATTCCTCTTCCCCCCCATTCATGCTACATGCCCTGCCCACCTCATTCTCCTTGACTTGATCATTCTAATTATACTTGGAGAAGAGTACAAGTTATGAAGCTCCTCACGATGAAGTTTTCTCCAACCTCCTGTCATTTCATCTTTCTTCGGTCCAAATATTCTCAACACCCTAGTCTCAAACACCTTGAGTCAATGTTCCTTAATGTCAGAGACAAAGTTTCACACCCATACAGAACCACAGGCAAAATTATAGTTTTGTATATTCTAATTTTTATGTTTTTAGAAAACAGACAAGAAGACAAAAGGTTCTGGACTGCATGGTAGCCAGCATTACCTTCATGAAGTCACTGTCATCATGGTCATGGTTACTGTAACTGCGCCGCAAAGTAGCATCACGTGATGGTCCTAGTTCCTCCCGAAGGGCATCAAAGCCTGACTGATCTAGCTGCACCTTAGCTACAGCTCTCTCCATGTCATCAGTCACTAGTTCTACATTGAACACACATTGGTTTACTATGTCCTCACGATCTATCTTGCGAAGAGCCTTCTCCAATTTGTTACCTGCAACATATGAACATGGCATTGCTCGTAAAGGTCCACCATATCATGTAAAATTCAAAATTTTAGACACAGAATCTTATATCATATACCATATTTATAATTTACAACCTTCCTTCCTAAAAATCATGCATGAAAGTTGTGGTGTATAAAATCAAATCATACATGTTACAGATAATTACAACTGAAAGCAATGTGGCATCATGATATTGATATTTGCTCCTAGAGACTCCACAACATGAACATTCGAACATGCCCACTGTTGAATGTGATGTGGCAACATGGCATGGAAATACACACCTAAAGACTACATGTAATTTCTTGATGAACATAGAAATAAAAAATGTCTGTTAATAAAATTTCAACTGATGTATAAGTTTTGTGGAAAACGAAAAAGTGAAAGATCGGTTGTTCAGAACAGAAATGGAAAAGCACCTATTAATTACAGGTGTCTGACCCACATACTTTATAAATGTCACATATTTTAGTGATTAAGGTCTCCAGCAAACAATTATTGATAAAGGAATCAAGCATACTGTTAACAAGAGTGAGTTTCACTTCCATATACTGAACACAAAGAGATATTCATAGGTGGCTGTATTTGGCACTACCATTGATTTTATGCTGAATTCTTCTGCAAGCTGTCCATAGTTTTTGTGCATTTAATATTAATATATTACTGTTAATTTATAACCTTCTCACACCTTAATCAGGAAGAAAGAACAAATTATTACAACTCTAACTCAATACTGGTCAGCCTGTTCACACTACACTGGAATAACTGGTCACAATTATATGAGGTAAGATTACGAATTTGTTTTGAGTAACTTATTCTGCTTGAAGCCAGAACTTCTGTTGTTAACAGTAAATTTCTTATACGAAGGGCAGTCAAAAAGTTCCTGGAATTGTGGTATAGCACTCTAATGGTAGGACATACGGCAATGCTTAACTAATCCCTTCAAAGTAGGACCCTTGCGTGCACACACTTGCTCCATCAATCCTGCCACTGTTGGAAGCAGCGGTGGAAGGCTTCTTTTGTAATCTTCCAGGGCTCAGCTGTCACATTCGATTTGATGTCCTCCATGGTTGCGAAACGTGTCCCCTTGAGGCACATTGTCAGAGTAGGGAACAGCCAAAAGTCACTCAGAGTGAGATCCGGAGAGTACGGTGTTTGAGTGATGACAGGAATGTTTTTTCTCGGTTTGGAATTGCTGCACAACAAGCGATGTGTGACTTGGTGCATTATCATGATGCAGAAACCACTGTCCCTGCCACTTGTTGTGCCACTTCCTCAAAACCGCATAGCGCAACCACTGCAAAACTTGTTCATAGAATTGGTCAGTAACAGTAACAATTTCTTGCTCCAACTCCGCGATGGTCATTCTTCGATCACACTGAATCAGCTGACACACTTTTCCAATCATTTCTTCGGTTCTGGATGTCAAAGGTCTCCCGCTGCGCTGGTCATCCTCTAACGTCTCCTGCCCATTCTTGAACCTGGAAAACCAGTCATAAACTGCGGATTTCTTTAGTGCAGTATCACCATAAACTTGCTGCAGGGCCGATAGCGTCTCTGAAGCAGATTTTCCCAAGTTGCACATGAACTTGATGTTCGCACACTGATCGAACTGTGACATTGTGCTGAATGACCAACACTCACTTCTAATTCAAACGGAACAGTAACAACACTGCACACTGAAACCTGTCCAGACCTGTTGCGCCTGTGAGCAGACATGCTGAGCTTCCCACCACAACAGTGTGTGCGCTAGCTTATCGCTCGTTCTCTGGCTGCAAAGGAATTCCAGGAACTTTTTGACTGCCCTACGTATATTCTTATACAACAACAACAAAGACTATGGTCTTCTGGGTTGCAACACCATGTAGTTATGAAAGAGCCTGACATTTCAGAGGGAAATATCACCTCCACCTTCAGGGTCCAAGAGTGATTCAAGCAAGAAACAAGCAGATGCAGGTGGAAAGCTGAGCTTAGCTTGCCACCTGCTTCCGCTTCCACTGATTTCTTGCTTAACTGAGTTGAAGATTGAGGTAGTATGACGTTGTGTGTACAAGCTTTGCATTGGTAATTGGATTTACTGAACACTTATAAATCATAACTACAAGTAACCATAGTGCTATGGCTAATTCACTAAAGCATGTGCTAAGTCTTCTCAGTCTGCTGCTTCTTCACCAGTGGGCTGGTACTGGCTTCCAATGCCATAGATCCCTCAACTTCCATGTTCATGGCTTCATGTCCCCACTGGCTCTTGCCTATCTCACTGCAGCTCCCAAGCTGGCTTCCAACTGCCAAACTCAAGACTAACGAAGTCACTAGCCAACCGACTTCACTCCACCACCTCTAGCTCCACTCCGCTCCACTGACTGGACTGAACTCAGTTGGTTGAGTGATATAGCCTCAGAGGGGACCCAACAGAAAAAACCGTTCCTCTGTTAATGTGGGTGTTGTGGTATCATGTCTCCATTGTAGCTCCACTGTCCACCTGTGCCAGACTGTGTTACAACACTGCTTCCCACCAGCTTTTATATTTCACATGGAATTATGGTGATAAGTTGTTTATTGTGTCATAACCTTGTAAAGGCTCTCTACAAGCTATGTCTTACCTGTAGCTTTGTTGCCTGATGTGTGTAGCCAAAGTCGTAGCATCACCATAGCCTGCTGATTTATGTTGTCTGGGTATTCTGTCTTGATGAGATTCACATCTGAGGTAGGAATACCAAGCTCAAAGGCAAGAGGCACCCAATCAGCTCCAAGGAGGTTACTTATATCAGACAGCCTTATATCAGCTCGGTGGATTGAGTCTGGGTGACCTTGAGCAGTAACCACCAATTCTGAGGTTTGTAACACTTAAATTCAATATAAGTATAAAGGTCTGTGACAGAGGTGTTGTTAATTGACACAAACGCTGGACATTTTCTACTGCCTCATTTTTTATTAAAGAAGGGAACTGTTTCAGAAGCTGGCCCTGCTTCCATCATTAAGTAAAAATACAAAACCTGCCTTGATTCATTAGATGGATGTAATATCTATCTCCTAGCAGGAACAGTACTGGGGCACATAAACTGTCACTATCATAGATCAGACCAGGAAATCATATCATAAAGCTCACAATTTAAAGCTACATGCTGATGCTAAGCTGAAACTGTCATCCAAATTAGACTCAAATTCATGTGTTCCATTAACTTGACAGTAACTGCTTCCAACCATAGAGTGCAAACAAGATACAGTTCCATTTCTATTAACTTGGGGAAAAAATTAAAAACTGATTAACTTAAGCAGCTATGATGACAGATCTTATACTTTATTTGGGTCACATAACTGATCAAAATATCCTGTGTTATATGCTGCATCAATGTTAACAATAAAGCACCTTCACTTTTGTTTTTGAAGGTACAAATTTTGATAGCAAACACTTCCATTCAGCCATAAGCAGAAATTAAAAAAATTAGGGTAAAGATAATAATAATATCATGTCCTTCTTTAGCCTAAAGAAAATCTGTCAATTAAATGTGGACACATGTCACACACAGAAAACCCATATATGCCATACTATATAGGCAACAAAGAGAGTAGAGGTCAAGCTCCATAAATTATCAGCTTCAGCACTCACAGGATTTAAACTGTCTGATTCACTCTCCAGCTGTTTTGTCCCCGAGGATGGGTCCACAGTAATGATCTGATAGCTGCCTGAGTGTATCCCAGAGCTGGTACAGATATGATGGTCATGAGAAAAATATCTATGTCCATCATAATGAACTGAACCCTGGTTATCCAGCCCAAAGACTGTAATTTTACTGACTGAGCTATCCCAGTCCCCTGTTAGGGTGCTGTAAGAAGGCAATACTATCCATTCTAGTTACCTCAGAGAAGAACAAGAATTAGAAAGTATACATTTGTATGCTGGCTAAGGTAAGAACCATGTCTTCCCTTTGAACTTGAATAAAATATCACGTCATGTTCTTAACATTCTACAAAACACAGTTATTTTTGTTCCAGTCAGAACAGATAACTGAAACACTGACACTTACTGATACCATCTCGCAAGAAACTGTAATTCTTCTCTAGCTCTAGCAGATCAGGTTCAGATGGGCCTGACTCAGGAATAATGGTTTCTGGCAGGACTATGTTGAGAGTACAGATAGGTACTTGTGCTGGCTCTCCCTTTGCAACCTGATAACAGCACAAACCACACAATTTGAATTACATTAACTTTTGGGGACCTACTATCATATGCAGCTCTGAATTATGATACTGGAACATAGATTTCTCGTCAATTTACAAAATCTTCATTTCAACAGAGGACTTCATACTGCTAGATCACAATTTTGCATAAAACATCATAAAAATAGCATTTCACACAATATACTCTCTCTCCCTAAATGTTTAGAACATACTGTTTATATTACATATCAGGTAGCAGTTCACTTTTGTCATATCCATCAATCGCTTTCAATTTGGGAAAGAATTCAGTGAGTTATCAGGTTAAAAGTCCTTAAATTTGTACTGTTCTCAATTATACCACAAAGTGCACTGTGTGCAATATCACTTCAGTTATTAAGAAAATGAAGACAAACAAGACATTCTGGGATTACATCTATTTTTCATCAAATGCTTCAGTTTATTTTGTGATGCTAAGAGGAACTATATGTTTAATTGTCAATATATTAACCCTTCCGCGCGGTCATTTAAATTCCGCGGCCGTCTCTCCGGCGGTAATATATTCAGCCGTCCATTTAAATTTTGCTCAAAAATGATTTATTCATCATTGTTCTTAAATTATATGAGATAGGAACATGAAACTTTCACTAAAATGATCTTAAAAGGTGGTTTTATAACCTTACCTTATAATATGAGCGCCCTGTATCTCGGCAATGGAA